GTTCGAACACTGTTGTCTACGTAGCATTGCACGTGTCTGGTGGGGTAACCGGACTAGCAATGCTGAGGTTAGACGTAGAGTTTTAGGCAGTCGCGGTCGTCCACTGGAACAAGTGATCGACCTCCATAGATTACGCTGGTTGGGACATGTGCTACGCATGTCACCAGATAGTTTGTCACGGCGAACGATGTTTGCCAAGGCTGGTAGCGATTGGAAAAATCAAAGGGTCAAGCTAAGACCTGGCATGAGGGTATGAAAACCCTAACCAGGAGACTAGGTCACATAGGCCCCGTTAGACTCCCTGGCTGGGGACCTCGGGATGATGGTCACCGATGGTTAAAGACACTGAGTGATATGGCTGGGTGTCGCAAACAGTGGCGCTCGTGCATTCACTCTTTATTTTCCTAACACCACTCTATATGTATTCCCCATCTTCCGCTTGAATTTGCTTCAACATTCCAATCTTCATTTCGCTCTTTTATCCAAATGGGCAACCAAAACCGGCGCATGAAAGTGCATGGTTAATGGTTGTAAAAACTGAAACTGAAAGCTGTCTCTCAAAATAGCTCCAATCCCTGTCCACCTGAATATCACCACTGACCATGTGCACGTTGCGGGTTTGGCAACGATCAGTGAGGTTCGCTTCACTGTACGATGATGATGATGGTTAACGGCAGAGGAATCCGTTTTTTTTGTCAGCAACTGGGCATAGAGACCTATTGACGCGAACAGCGTGTTGTGCGCGATCCCATATATGAATGAAATAATATACACATAACATCCGTGTGGACATTGCCGCCTCGCCCACTCGTAAAACCCAACCGTTTTCCTACTGCCCCCACCCGTCTAATAAGCCCATACATCTAAGGAAGGATTATTTCGTTCTATAATGTGTTCAGTACGCTTCAGTCCACTGAGACTCGAGTGGATGAGCAGTATCATTTCTGATTGTTCGCGAACGGCCTGTCGGCCATGAAATCTTTATCTAACTTAGTAAACAAGTGAATATAGTTCACCAATTTTCGACTCACTTCGATATACCCGATATACCTTGGTGCATGGACGGGTCACACGTATGCAAACAAACGAACCACAGAACACGTACTGAGTCACATCCGGACGTTGTAGAGCTTAAAAACCTCACAGTAATCTGCGTGAACGACAGACAAAGAGTTTTATATATTCAGTATTATTTTTCGTTTGTTTTCATAGATTTCTTTATCAGGTCTGATTCATTTGGCAATTGAACAATTGCTGAGTCAAAACCCGAAACCAGAGGGCTCTAGATAAAGTTATTGGTTGTATAAACTGAAACAGAACTGAATACATATCCAATAGGGTGAAGATCAAAACTAATCCCCAATCTCCATGAGAGAGCACTGCACAAAGTGAATATATTCTCATCGAATGGAAAAAAGCAAAGTGGGCAAAACTGATAGACCAGTTTCGAATTGAAAACCAAGAATAATCAAAAACAGAAATAAGTGACATTTATCCAATAGGATTTTCCGATTGGTCTGGAAGTGTTTACCTAGTGACCCTCTTTTTCATCGGATAAGTTGAGTTGAATGAGGGTTTATCACTTTTTAGTACTGATTGGATTCATTCTGCACGGAATCGCTTGAACTGACCGGATTAGTAACGATATCATTCGCGACGAACTGATGAAATAGATCCTGATATGGTCTGTGCTTGTTTGTGCATTGTTCCAAATCCCATGTTGTGACACGATCCGATTCGACCAGTTCCGAGGGACTAGAGTTAATCCATCGAGTGACAGAATCCCGTTCATCCGTATCCGGGACCGGCACGTCTCGTTTGGTTAGTTTGGCGAAGATGTTCTGTTTCAATGCCCGACACATTCGTGCACGCCATCGACCAGCTATCCCATCTGGGATTCGAGTAGCCATCTTATTCTTGTGACACAACTGTAAACTGTCATCGCCCAAGCCGTTCTTGGTAGTATTATATAGATGACAGGCAAATAACTTCGTGTTCTCATCCGGTTCACAATCACCATCGTCGAACTCCATATAAGCCAATGCTCGGCGAAGTTTGGGCGGTTCAACGAGTAGTGTCGGGTCCGGTGTTTTCAATCCTACAGTCGACTGTCTGTTCACATCGGATGTCATTTCCCGGGGTGAATCAGGTCGCACACGCGAATCACATTTGACTGGAACCGGATTGTCCGTATTATCTAACACCGGTAGCCAGGATTTTTCATCGAGAAAATATCCCTCACCATCACAACGGGGCTGTTGTAAATCCGCGTCACCGCACTTGCCTACATCTAACTGATCCTCATCGCATGAACCGGATGCGTTGGCACTGTTTCGCACCGGTGACAAGTCGCTTTGACAATTTGAAGCAGAACGTCTTCGCGAGTCAAGTTGGCTCATGATGAATGTGCCCAACTGGTTAGAAATTAGTGAAGGTCGAACCAGTATCGATCGGAATGATTTGAACTTATTCCCGATCAATATTAGCATATTCACAGATCACGCTTCAGGACACGTGGCAAATACACTTTTGTTAACACAGAATACCCTAATGTGGTTCTACTTGTCGTGTAAATCATTGTTTATTTTCAAAACCATGTGTATTTAGAGAGCCGTATCTCTTAAACGTGGGATTCAACTATCGAATGAACATGTAAAAATGATCTCAGGGAAATGTTGGACTATATATCTTTTCATCAAAACCGAGAGGACAGTCCTTTTACATATTAACATCTCGTTCACGATCGCTGATGAAAAGCAAGCGGACAGTAAACTTCACACCCCAAATATTATTAAACGGGCGTACACAGATAGACAAAGATAAGCCTAAACGGAAAAGATTATCTTCGTGGAAGGCAGTGAACTAATGAGCTTCAGCTGAATTAAATCCGCAGGGAATAGATTCACACTAAGATCTGCTGAATGACTAACCATCAGTGCAAAAGTTTCATTGGGCATTGAAGACATCATGGAGCGGAATCCAGACAATACCAAGTGACTGAGGAGCACCATTTAGCCAAGCGAAAAGAAAGTTTCCTATCACAAAAATACGTTTGATAAAATCAACAAAATTTTCACTTTTGCTAAATGTAGATTCAATTCATTATGGCATCCTCAAAAATTAAAAAAACTGGGCTGTTTTCGTCTGGTGCACACCGAGAGATATGATATTGGGCAAAGGAACTCCGTGGTGTGACTTAAGGTCGTAGTATAAATTTGATCGACATCGTTATGTTACATACCAAATGTTGTGTGTTCGAAAGCGTCCGAGAGACGTTATTTTTCGACCACGTGTGATAATCTATACTTGGTAACGGAAATCGAATTGCAATAATCCACGCAGTTAAGCTCCAACCGAACTAGTACGCAGTATGAAATAGAACACAAGAATATTCGAAGTCGAATTATATCACGCACCGAAACTGTACAAAGCAATCGATCATGTAATGAAACAAGAATGCTTAGTTTATGCGCAATCACCACATCCACCACAGCTTGAATAAAGCTCGGGGTTGCTGTAATCAAGTCTTTCTTTGCAAGGCAAACGTTCGGATCTTCGAGGATTTTCAACGGAACTCTCGGAATGTTCATATGAATGGTTTCCATTTGAAATAGACTCAGAAAGAGAAGGATTAGAACATTCAGAATTGGGGTATTGCCAATTATTTGGTCACTATGTCTGCGATGAACTAATCCATCTTCTAACTCAACGAGTTGGTACATTCTTTGACCCATCTGGTTCAACACCAATCCCCTTGAAGGAGGGAGCGCATTTCCACAATGATAAATCACTTCAGCTGATTCCAGATTAAGAAGATTGGTACGAAGTATATGATTTTTGAATAATTTGGCTGGACTGCTCCCCGTTTATTTGCTCGTACGACCGCTTATCGGTCTTCTGTGGTGCCATACCTAGCCCGATTTCTTGTCAGCCCAGAACGCATCGCTTCGAAACTTAACTCAGACATCTCATAAATTGTTTTTTTTCCATTGCTTACGACAAATCTGTTATAATTTTCTTCGATAAGTGTTGATTGACTGTGACTGCTGAATATTCACGTTTCTGGGTGCATAAAGCAAATACTTGACCTGACCTGACTAGCAGCATGAATAGAGTTCCTGTACTCCATGAGGAAATTATCAACACCCTTGTCTAAATCAGTGAAAGTAGATTTGCGCAAGATGCAATTGCACTTTGCAATGTCCGAACGAAGTTTTCTGCTGCACCATTTGACTGTGGGCGTCGAGATGCAGTTAGGACATGTCGGCAGCCAATAGATTTCAACCAATCCATCACGCTCTTCGCTGTGAAGTGACTACCGTTATCAGTGCCGATGGCTTGTGGAACACCCTCCCGGCTGAACGTCTTCCGGAAAGCAGTTATAGTGAATTCGGCGTTGAGTGGCGTAGTGAAATAAACCTCAGGACAACGTGAATAAGAGTCAATAGTCACTCGCGCGTGGTATTTGTTTAGAAAGGGACCACAGTAATCAGCATGGACNATAATCACTAGAGCGTAGTATTTGTTTAGGAAGGGACCACAGTAATCGGCATGGACTCGCTGCCAGGGTTCAGAAGACATTGGCCAAGGAGTCCACTTAGATGGTTGTGTGCGAACTTTGTGGACGCAGTCAGTACATGATTTGGCCACTCGACGCAAATCACTGTTAAGCTCCGGCCACCAGCAAGTCAAACGTGCGAGTGATTTCATCTTCTCAATACCGAGATGTCCCAAATGCGAGTCACTCAACACTGCGGAGCGTTAGGATGGAGAGACGATTATTCGATCGCTGAGGCACAATATTCCATCACAAGTTACTGAAAGTTCTTCACGGCTTTTATAAAACTCTGGGAATCGGCGCTTGGTGTCAGCTCGCCAACCGTGTCGAACACAAGAAATAACTGCATGATAGTACCGAATTCCCAAGTACCTTCATGATTATTTCATGGAGCCGGCTTATCCTTTCCAAAGAGCCAGCCGTAGTAAAGTAATTAAGTAAGTGTAAAATGCCCGCTGATGACTTTGCCGGAGATCGGTGGGGATTCTAAATGAGCTTCAATGTCTCGTGGTCCCATACAATTGTGAAATGTGAGCGATATAAGTATTTGTGTAATCGAGTAACAACCCAGTATACTGCAAGAGCCTCTCTATGTGCTTGGGAGTAACCACGTTCAGCTTGACTGGGTCTGCGAGAAATGCATAGAACTGGATGACCGTTCTGCTCCAACACTGCTGCAATGCCAACTAGTGATACGTCTGTAATTACTGTCGAATGTGCTTTTGGGTGAAAAAGCATGTAAAACGGCATCAGTGGAAAGAAAACTTGGTAATCCTCTAAGAGTGATTTCATGAATATGTGTAAATTGATATGTTCGCTGTGAAACAAGTGCGAATAATGGTTCTGCTTTTGTGGCAAAATCTGGAAGGAATCTAGAATAATACTGAAGTGAACCGAGTAATGAACGAAGTTCTTCAACTGACTTGGGAGAAGGTGCATTAGAAAGAGATCAAAAACGAGTAGGATCAGGACGGAAACGAGGTTCATCAACAAGAAAACCCAAACAGGAAAATTTTGATGTAGAAAATGTACACTTATCTGCATTAATAGCAACATTATGAATATTGAACCGTTCAAGCAGTAAGAACAAACGCTTATCATGTAGTTCTTTGGTCGGTGCATGCACGATAATGTCACCTTGGTGAACTGAAACTCCATCCAAACCAGAAATAAGAGAATTCACAACATTCTGAAATATAACAGATGAAACACTAAGACCAAATGGCAAAAGGTCATAACGAAATAGATCAAACGGTGTGTTAATTGTGGTCAATTCACTAGACTTCTCATCAAGTGGTACCTGAAGAAATGCATCCTTTAAGTCTAGTTTGGAAAAGAACTTTGATCAGTGAAATTGATGGAGGATGTCTTCGGGTTCATTGGTTGAGCAGATGGTTTGTTTTAAGTACCTGTTGACTGTGATACGGTAATCCCCACAAATTCCGGGTGTTTTATCATCACGCTTCAACGAAACCACAATAGGGATAGCCCAAACAGAATAATCCATACCCTTCTCAACCAAATCGTTCAAAACTTTTTTCACGGGTTCACGGAGACCCAATGGTATAATTCGACGTTTCAAATGTATTGGGGAACCATCAACTTCCAAGTGAATTGAGGCCATTTTAATTCCACCCTTATAGTTGGAGCATTTAAGGACCAACTGACGCAGTTGAGACTGTTGATCATCAGTGAAAAATGAGAGAGAAATTTCCATGCGTTTCATACAACCAAGGCCAATAATAGAAATGTCGGAATCAATAACAAGAAAGAAGCAATTGAATGTGTGCTGTTTATCAACAGTAAGAAGAAGTTCACACGAACCCAAAACAGGAGGATTATGGCCAGTTATACCTTTAACCGAAATGTCAGTTGTGTTTAGATACAGACGTGGTTTCAAACGCTGAAGAACAGTCTTCGAAATAAACGAATTCACACTACCTGCATCTATGATGAATGAATGACGAAGACAATGATTGACTGTGAATGTACGAATAATGTGTTTGAGACTTGTTGGAACTGTTAACGGATAAAGCAAGAGGCCGAAAAGCGATAAGCAAGCATGAATCAGAGACTGAGTTCTATGTCGAACAGTTACGTGTGCTTCGACAAACAGACTCGATATGCCCAGACTTACCACACCTGTGGCACTTAGCATTGTCAAATTCGCAAGGCAGTCGAGAATGTCGCCTACCGCATGATTAGCAAGGGTTCCAGTGGCGGATGTTATTATTTGCAGGTTGTGGACGTCGGATTACGACTAACGGCTGTGTTGACACTTTTGAACCGCCGCGTCCGTTGAGTTTCAAGCACTGAACCACAATTCTTACTGAACAATACTTTCGGCTCCTCTCGTACGGCCAAACGTACATCCTGATACTGTTCACAGACCACCTTTGTGGTTTGAAATGTACAGTTTGGAATCAACAATAACTGTTGCTGTAGCTCAGAACAGTTAATTCCAGCAATCAGTCTATCACGGAGCTGAGTTTGAAGCTGATCTTTGAAATTACAGCGCGCAGCCTGAGTCTACAGCTGAAGAATGAAGTTTCGGGCGGACTGATTAGGATCACGAGAAAGGCAATGTAATTTCGCTCGCTCAGCTGCCTCGAAGTTGGTTGGCTGGAAATGATTCAGTAATAGATCCTTCAATTCGTCCTACTTCAGACTCTGGGAATGGCAAATTTTTAATCAGTGCATAAGCTTCTTTTCCAACAGCATAGAGAAAATATGCCATCTTCTCGGCGTCCAGACTCTTGTGGGTGAGGCACCAAATCTCAAAACGCTCTAAATAATCTTCCACATAACGTGAATTCGAATGAATATCAAGAATTTCCAAGCTGCAGGTGTCCATAATGAGATAAAAACTGGCCGCGACGCCAAGTGTGATAGTCTGTACTTAGTATCAAAAATCGAATCGCAATAATTCGCGCAATTAAGCTCCAACCGAACTAGTACGCAGTATGAAATAGAACACTAGAATATTCGAAATCAAATTATGTTACGCGCCGAAATTGTACAAAGCAATTGATCACGCAATGAAACAAGAATGTGCAGTTTATACGCAATCATCACATCACATTTTGACGTGGTTAGGGCTATAAAAAGGGAATTCTGTACTGTACGGAAAAATGAATCCCGCTCCGAAAACCGCCGACCGTTTTGAGTTAGAAAATAAACCATGTTACGTAATTGTGCCGCGTTCTACAATCCTTTATATCTACTCTGAATAGTAATACTGAGTGAGAAAATACGTTCTGTTCGGTCCATACCACGGTCATCACGATACTACAGACCGATTAGTTGTGATCGGATACCGTTGGAAACACCCATTTCAACCCAAAAGAGTTTGGATCATCAAGAGATCCAAATTCAGTCGAAAACGAATCTTCGGATGTATAAGAGAAAATAAAATTGTTGCTAAATTTAACGAAAAACGTGTCCCCTTGGAACACATGAGCGTGAGCAGAACCCAGGTAACTATATATCTGAACGGTAAAGAAAAATGAGCACACAAGGTATGATGCGCTCGAAGCGGCACGCAACAAAACGAATGCTTACGGCTTCCAAAACGATGTCAGCTCACAGGAGTCCAAACGAAGAGTACGCTGTAATCAGGATATAGACTTGCTTGAGTGAAACTAAGCGACACCCATAGTTCAGATTTGATATTGCGGGGTTCCCGTCCCTTTTTGAGTACTTTTCAATTTAGGAGTGAATGGCTTATTGTACGAGCACAGAGAAGTCTATATTCTGCTTCACATATTGGTCCGTGGCAAAAAGCTTGGTTCTTAGCCGCATGGATACACGGGCGGAGTATGATGTAGTTGGGATAGTCTATGTTGTACTCTTCACTCTGCGGTTTCCTTGACCCCAGTGCAACAGAGAGAGAGAGAGAGATAGTAATCGTAACCCAACCGGGATGGATAATCAAATGCGATGCGATGCGTAAGTTCGAACAGGATATTGATCGTATAACAGAAAGCAGCACAAGACAAGTTTTAACACAATTGTCCCAAACTATTCGTATCCAGCTACATATTCTGCGATTTCCCAGTTGGTTTCTAGCTGTAACGGACCGCGAATCTCGGCTCCTTTCGGTGTGACAATTGCCAGTTGGTATGTTTTGAAGGCCCTAAAACGAAACAGAATCAATGGTGTTAGTGAACCGTGACAAACACGGTGAAGTATCATCATCATCATCATCATCATCATCATCATCATCATCATCATCATCATCATCATTGGTATAGTGAGAAAGACAGTTAAGCGAAATTTGCTGATCTCTGTCAAGCTAGCAATGCACAGAAAGTAGATGAGAATGCATACAGCAAACATTGGATATTTGGAAAGAAAAAAGTTAACCTCTACGGTCAACACAATCTAACTGTGCATACACACCTCTTTGAGCATTCTGACCCGATAAGAAATGACAAAAGGAACGCCACTGTTGCCGGTTACCATATCTTTCAGGGTCTCCAACCAATCAGTTGCAATGCCTTTTTGGACCCCAAACTGGAAGGCGCGAGAAACCTACTCTTCCTGGTCGCTCTGTGTAATTCTCCATACCCCGTTTTAATTTCATCTGTTGACCTCTATGTGATTTCCTCCACTTTCAAGCCACCACTATATATATAACACCGGCTTGTAAACAAGCATGGTGCAAACGCCACAACAATAATAACAATAACAGAGGATGGGTGGATTGGGATACAGAACAGAGTGAAAAGAAGGCGAAACGGTTAAAATCGTCAACCAGCTTGTGATGGTAAACGAAGAGGCGATGCGAGCATAGACCTTGACGCGGTCTGCTGTTTCTGATTAGACGGCTTTGAAGTCTACACAATTTGCAGGCGCACAGCTTCCTGAAAGACAAGTCTGGAGAGAAGCATTATCCAGTAAGTCAAATACGGTACTTATGTCTACCAAAACAGCAATAGTTGGCCTACTGGACGTTTGGTGCCACTCGAGAATCTGATACAGAGTGAATTATTGATCAACACACCCCACCCGGAGTGGAATCCAACCTGTTCCTCACTCTCTTAAGCAACTGAGAATGGCAAGGACCATCTTGAATGAAACGGTGATGAGGCTAATCCGTCGATCATTGCAGTAATCGTGCGGAAGGACCTTCTTGAAAACACGTACAACGTTAGCTCAATCCCAAATGGATAGAATGGATTCGGTGTTTAACAGATATTTCGTGTGATGAACAGCAGAAAGGGTATAAACTATGGTTGCGAAGACCTGCAATTCAGTGATGGAGACCAGCAACTTAAAAACCAGGACATGGATTACCGAACCAAATAAAGCCCCTTCAGGCAAGTCGTGGTACTGAATCGAAATAGAGTAGTCAGATCTCGAACAAGGCTTGCGTCGCCGTCCTTGGAAAGCGCCAGGGGAAGTTCATCTGGACCAGATGGACTGTGGCGTTTCAGAAGTCTAACAAACGTTCTAACCAAACTTCGAATTTGACAGTTTCGTGTAAACAAACGGAAGTTAAGTTTGGTTGTGTTTTGTAAAATGGGGAAAATCTCAGTGTTCAAGATGTCATTGTCGGATTGGCGTACGCGAATTAACAAGCAGTAGGCACAGATAATTTCTTTCGCCTGTTGCTTCATTGTGGATGAGGATTAGTCACGCAAAATGCGTCAAGTTTTCCAACAGCGCATAAACCTAATACATCATCATCTCTGTGCAGAGATGGCCTGCCCCCACCCCACCCCCGCTCTTTACCTGGCGCACTCACGCACATGTTTCAAGGCCCTCGAGTGCATTTATTCTAGGAAGGCGTATTCCAGTGTTCCTGTATGCGCATGCTCGAACTGCTATTCTATTATTTGGGAGATTTAAATGCTCCTTTATGCAAACACTTTGTGAATGTCCGTATATGGTATCTAGGGCATTTAAGAGTATCTGGTTCTCCTCGGGCGTACTTTCGAGGCTTCTGTAGACACCTGCTATACTAAACTTTTTTGGAGGCAGTATTATTTAGACTGAGCACATCTGGATGTTCCGAATGCACTTCGTTACTTTGTCATCATGGGCAGCCAAAAGACAGCAATCAAAAGCGACGTACGATAGTGCATGCTTAATGATCGTACATGCCAACAAACCCTCATGGTGCTGTATGTCCTAATACATCTGCAACGTCTTTGTTAAAACTCGCTTGAGGTGGCCCGCTCACTGAGAGAAATGTGGAAATCCTCTCAAGAAAACAAACGTTTAGTGAGGTAATTAGTATGGTCTCACCTAGCCATACAAAGGGTTCTGAAAAATCAAACAGAATCGCGCTGGTACATTAGTTTCAAGTCCGTTTGTACAACCATTAACCACGCACATTCGTGCGCCGGTTTTGGTTGCTGTCTTTTGGCAGCTCAATGGATGAAGAATAGGAGAAGAAAGGAAAGTTAAAAGTGGAGTCGAACAGAAAATGCAGAAATGGAGTGGTCTAAGGTTGCAAAGAAACTGAGATACACGAACGCCACTGTTTACGACACCCAGCCATATCACTCAGTGTCTCT